GTCATTCAGTCTATCACCAGCTAGGAATACTTAGCCTCATTCAGATGCTATTAGATTTAAGCCAGTTGAATATGCAATTGTTGAGAAAAAAAACAGTCAGATATACTTATTAGATATGTGAATGATATGCTGTAAATATATTGTCAGTAATTATGTCTAAAAGGAAAAGTATAATTAGGTGTTCTAGGAATGGAACTTTATTGCGGATAAAGAAATAGAGTGATATTTTTAAAAATCTTTATTGTTGCTAGTATAATAGATGTCCCCTCTTTTTCCTCCAAGAATTGGATCCATCCCCTCTTAACTCCCGTTTACATGGCAACCATATTCTATGAACCCCTAATCAGAACACCTTTTTATACATAGGTAGATGGTCGACAGTGTGACAGTATATTTAAAATGTAATAATTTTAGATAATCTGAGACAAATACATTGCCTGATTCATAGGTGAGAGGAGTGCAGAGCATTTCTTTAATCTGAATTCAATTAAATACTGTATTTTTAAATTTTCTATGAAAAGGTTGGCTTGTATAAAATATCAAGGGAAAAATTCCATTTTGGCAACATAATGGCACATAAATTCTGTAAGCAGGACTGCCATCGTAGACATATTTGGTATCTTTAAACACAAAACACTAAAAATCCAACATCTAAAGGCATTTATTCATTGATTTTTTGTTGTTGTTGTTTAATATTGGGTTGTTTAATATTCAAGTATTGTCCCAAGGGATGTCACAATTCAGGCCAGGGATTAAACAATAAGAAGCCTTAAAAATGTAATTATTGAGAGAGACTGTTATTCAGCATCTCAAAAACAATCATCCGTCTTTGTCAGAAATTGCCCATTGGCGACTTGAAGTAACTCCCCCCTGCCCAGAGCCTCACAAATGGACAGATTGTGCTGAATGGATGTCTTTAGTATCTACAATCAGAAAAAAATGTGGTCCTTGGGCGAGGCAGTGAAAAGTGTTTAGAAAACTGGGTTAGGACGGATTTGAACAGATCTCTTTTCTTACACTGCAAAAAGCCTTCAGTCTGTTGTCATATCTCCATGTGGGATCAGCCTGTAGCAAATTCGGTTCCATTGCAGGGGCTACATCTCTTCAGTGACAAAGCAGAAAAGAGAAGGGGGCTCTACCTCTGGACAAAGTAATCACCGCCATTTGTAAAGCTATTGTAAACATCAATGAATTCCTCTGAAGCAAAGGTGATAAAGCTCAAGTCTTCAGTCGGTTTAAGCTAAGAAGAATGCTATTTCTCTTTTGTAACATTTAATGATACGTATTCACTTCGATACATTTATGACATGCCAAATAATACAATGATGCTTGCTCTCTATTTCCCAGGGCATAAAGAGTTTTTAGTGAACCCTCCAGTAGATGAGAATTTGATGGGACGTTCAGGTAGACATTGTGTTATTTTACAGAGTCCGTTTTCTACATAAAGGTTTTTGGTGATCCTGCCTGCAGGCTTGCCCACTTGCTCTCATTCCTTGCCATTTCTTCCTTTGCATTTAAATCCTAACGAAAACTGAACTCTCCAGCTCCCAACCAGAGCGTGTTAAACACTTGTGTCATTATTTACACTGTCCCCTCCATGTTATACATTTTTCAGTCTGTGCAGCTAACTCCTATTGATACGTCAACATTCAGCTCAATGCCATCTTCTCTAGGAGGCGGCTTCTAACCAGTGGGTCTGGGTGAGGCTCACCTTCTAACCCCCGCCCCCACCTCTCTGCCCAATCCTTCGGATACTCCCCTTATGGACTGTGATCCACTTGACAACAAGGGCCACTGCTTTGTAAGTCCTTAGTGCAGTCTGTGGCTCCAGCACTGTGTGTAATTGATTAATTAATTCATTGAACACTCATTGGAGTACATTGATGAATATCATAGTTTCCTGCATTTCAGGACTTTCAGTTTAATGAAAAGACAAACATATGATACATATGTGATTCTAAGGCAATATAACAGCTTACAACAGAGTGGAATAAATTAGATTGGAAATCATGAATGTCTTTGGGAAAAGGACAATGAAATCTGAGACCTGAAGAAAGAAGAGGAGTTTCTCAGACAATGGCTGGGGGTAGGAGGAGAATCCCAAGCAAAGGAGAGAACACATACGGAAGACCTTGTGTGTGAAACCTGTATTAGGGTTTTAAAAAGACTTGATGTAGGTTATCAAGGAATACTTCACATACAATACCATACAGTTCTCAGGGTACCCCCTTTCAAATTATTATCTTGAAATTCTAGCATGAACATATGCTCATGCAATCACTACCCAGATTAAGATAGAGAACATTTGCATCACCCCTTAAATTTTTTCTTGTGTCTTCTATTCTAGGCAGCTCCATTCCAGGAGGTAACCACTATTCTGGCTTCTATCACTCTTAGTAATGCTTTTAAATAATTGAGAGAAGTTCAGTGAAACAAGTGTAGGGAACAAGGGGGATAATGAAGAGAGGGGAATGCAGAGGCAGGCGGTGGCAGAGCGAAGATCACGGAGAGGCGTGAGAACCAGGTTCAAGATGTGAGCTTTTGACCTAAGTGAGTAACTATGGGAGATCTGAGCAAAGAGGTGAGATGATTGGATTCATGTATTAATGGCTGTGTTAATGAGAGGGGTTAAGAGTGGAAATAAAGGGACCAGCTAGGGAGTTGATGTAATATTCCAGGGGGTAAGGTAATGGTAGCAAGGGCCAAGGAATATCCTGAGGATGGAGAAAAATCAATAGATTGAAGATACATTTTTTTAAAATATATTTTATTGATTTTTTACAGAGCGGAAGGGAGAGAGCTTTAGTAAAGTGCATCATTTAAAAGCCATAACATCGATCAGCTGCCTCCTGCACACCCTCCACTGGGGATGTGCCTGCAACCCAGGTACATGCCCTTAACCGGAATCAAACCCGGGACCCTTCAGTCCGCAGGCCGACGCTCTATCCACTGAGCCAAACCGGCTTCGGCGATTGAAGATACATTTTGAAGTTAGTAGGCATTCACCAAACCTTTGTTAAAATTAACTCTATTCTTTAGTAAAGTGCATCATTTAAAAGCCATGTTGGCATTTAAACAGTTAATGTTGCTGAAGGCTAATAGAGATGCTGTCTCAACTGAGAGTTGTAATTATTTTTTCTATGTTAATAAAGTGTACTTCATAATGAATTCATTTTCCTTTTCTACCTACAAGGGGAATATTGCTTGGAATTTTCCATAATAACTAGCTGAATATTGCCTTTTGGACACAAAAAAAGATTTTCTTTGTTTTGTAAAGAGTTTAAAATTATTATCAAACCTAGGCGTTTCCATATTGACTTATTCAGATACTCAAAATATGATTCACATTGCCAGCAAAGAAATATGCCATTGAACACCTTTACCCTTATATTAGAATTGAAGTATTTAAGGAAATTAATTCTATGCCAAAAATCCCTGAATAACATTTACCTTTTCTTAGGTGAACATCCTATCATTTAACAAAAATATTTTTAACTTACTTGTTTTCTTTTTTTGAACAATCAATTGCATTTCTCCACAGAGCCTATTCAGATTTTGTTTGTGTTCACAGTCTGAAAACCTGATACATGCTTTGGATTCTTTATCAAAGTGTAAAATAGAGTGTTAAAAAGTGGCAAGGTTCCTGCATTAATTTCCTAGAGCTGCCATAATGAAATGCCACAGTGGGGTCATTAAAACATTGTAAGTGTCTTGTCTCACAATTCTGGAAGTCAGAAGTCCAAAATCAAGGTGTCAGCAGAGCTTTGCTTCCTCTGAGATTCTGAATAATCCTTCCTTTCCTCTTCCTAGCTTCTGGTTGTGGTTTGTTGGCAATTTTTGGCACATTGGCTTATGGAAGCCAATTCTCTGTCTTCACATGATGTTCCCTCTGTGTTTCTATCTCTTCACATGGCATTCCTTAGGACACCAATCATATTGGATTAGAGATCCCCCAACTCCAGTATGACCTTAGCTAAACTACTTATATCTGAATAACCCCCTTTCAAAATAAGGTCACAATCTGAGGTACTAGGGTTTAGGGCATCCTTGTACCACCCCCCACTTTTTATCTGGATGGAGGGCACAATTCAACTTTTAACAGTTACCAAAAACAATAAAAGAAAATGCCTTTGCTTCTGGCAAATTACCTTGCAGGAAACCTCTTCATTTTCTACATATATTTTCTTCATTACAAGTAGAAAAATAACTAGAGATATGAAAAGCATGTGTGTGTGCATGTGTGCGTGTGTGCGTGTGTGTGTGTGTGTGTGTGTGTGTACCTCTACAAAACTAGAATGGATCTCATCACTGCTAACCCACAGTCATGGAAAACTGCAAATTGTGTTTAACATTTCCATGCCTAGTTTCTTTTATTGAGGCATAGTGATTGGCAAACTTTTCTTTGACTAGGCTATGCATTTCTTTGCTATATCAGAACACTATTTTTTCATTTTATTTCTCTATTGGGATTTAATATAGGTAAAACAAAATGGAATTCTAATGGATGGCTTTTATTTCTACATCCTGGATAACATAGGTTACAAAATATCAAAGTGCTCAACAATTTTGGTTTAGGATGGATTTTAACTGTTTCTTCCTTATGATGGGAACGTGCATCATGTGGTGAGCCTCACTATTCTAGACAGGCGATCTGAATAATTCAGTTCTGGATTTCCTCAGTAATCTGATTTTTTTTCTACTAAATTCTCTAATAATTTGATATCACTCAACCAACATTTAATGCACATCTTCATGAGGGAAGCAGAGTGAACTAATCTCTATACTTACACATCGCTCCCTGAATAAGTAAATCAAAGATTGTTTTTCCTGGCTCCTTTTCTTCTATACCTTTCCAATTGGATTATGGTGTATTCAAATACAGGAATGAGTTTAACAGATTGAGAGGGCAAATAAATACATCAGGGAATGTTAAAGTCATTCTTGTATCCTCTACTGTGCTTTTATGACTTATATTTGTTTTTTATGTATTTTTATTTCAGCTGAAAGAGACATCAGTGTCTACTGTGGGGTGCAGGCCATTACAATGAAGATTAATTTTTGCACAGTACTTTTCTCCGGTTATTCTGAAACAGATCTTGCCCTGAACGGAAGGCATGGGGATTCCCACTGCAGGGGGTTCATCAATAACAACACCTTTCCGGCTGTGGTTATTTTCATCATCAATCTCAGCACCTTGGAGGGCTGTGGCAATAACTTAGTGGTAAGATTCGTGTAAAATAGTGTGCTAGGTTTGAGGTCATAACTGAAAAAAAAAATCCCATTCCATGAAATAACCAGAAGTTCAATCTATCTTTCAAGAGAAAATTCCAATAAAGCTCAACAAATCACTTTCCTTTGCCTGCTTGAGGCATCTGATCCCAAACATACAATTTTATTTTTCAAAAATGGTTTTCTTTATTGTAGCCGGGCAGTTGAGGGGCCGGAGATGGGCTGTGCTACTCTTAGCAACATTATTTTGTGTGAGTGACATTGATGAATATTTCTCTCCAGTTTGTCATTAGCTACATTCCTCATGCTTTTTATGGAAGCTTCTTATCATTCAGAAATTATTTGTTCCAGTGAATTTGGCAATGAATCCCTTGGCCTAATGCTTCTTAGTGACCTCATTCAGAAAGAAAGATGAAGGACAGAAGGGAATTTTTAGAATTGTCTAAGTTTTTTTTTGTTTGACATTGAATAATTCACACCAATGTTTTGTAAAAGAGGGCTGTCAGCATATCCAGTGTGAAATTCTTCATTGTGTGGGACTGTCCTTTGAATTTCATAATGCCTATCATTCCCAATCTTACCCATGAAATCCCAGTTGCACTCTTTCTAGTCATTGAGAATATCAAAACATCACTTCAAATATCTCCACCCAGAATAAGAACTACTAGTATGAGTCTATGCTATCCCTTTACTTATTCATGCATTGAACACCAAAAATAGAATTGAATACACCATTGACTCTCCTGGGAATTAAAATTAATTAAAGTAAAAATTTTATGATCTGGGGAGAGTTACACTGAGATTCATTTTGTACTGTTTCTTTTTTTTCATTTTGCTTATTTAAATAAAATATTATTGATAAATCCTAGCAAAGACAAAAATGAACTATGATGAGCAAGGTCACTTAGCCTAGTGAAGAAAGAGAAATTGGCTTTTCCTCTTCACAAATTATTGTTTGGGATTATGGGGGAGGCTTGTGTATTCTGCGGGTAGTTTCTAAGACTTGGTGAGAAAGGGCGACAGGAAAAAGAGAGTCCTTTATCTTTTCCCTGGGGCCAGTTAGAATATTGTGCCCATGACCATCCCAAGCCTGCAGCTTGAGTATTGTTGACTCTTTAATAAAAACATTTATTCATCTCTCTGAGTTGTGTGCAGAGAGGTTATGAAGTGGCCTAAGGGGCAGCGGTGCAGGTTGATTATTACATGTCTGTTTCCTGGTGGAGAGAGCAAGCCCATGTGGACAGCAGCAGCCATTCCTCTCCCCGCTACCACACCTCAAGGCCTTCCTTCACTAAACTTTCTTCTCTGGATTGGTCTCGCCCTGCTGCCTACAAAACAATTCAGTTGGAATTCCAGGCAAAACATGTGTGTGTGTGTGTGTGTGTGTGTGTGTTTCACAGATGGAACTTGTATGTTTAGCAAGGGGTCAGATAAGTGGTGAGAAGAGAGGAACATTTGCTTATTTTCTGTTTTTGTCTTTGATGTCACCAGCGTTGGAGTGTATTCCAAGGATAATCCTCCATGGGAAAAATGAACTAGAGTAGTAATTACTTGAATTTGAATCAAAGTGTTCATAATGATCCTGGCTCTGTTCATGAATTATTAGCACATTAGCTTTGCCCATGTGCTCCTAGGTTCATGTATACCTAAAGTTTATTCTGTTGCCCAAAATTAAGTATTACAGGTCTCCATAATATCTGCTAAAAATACTTATTGAGTGTCATATAGGTATGTGACATAGTGAAAGAGGCTGCATTCCTCTATGGTATTAGGAAGGTCAAGAACATTACCTTATTAAGATTACTCTTAATATGGTATGGGAGTTCTTAAATTTTAGTGGGATTGGAAAATACAGTGAAAGCTCCTCAGTCCCAGGAAAATAAACACATGGCCTATACTTTTGTGAGTTCATGATCCCTCTGAAACTCATGTATGAACTATTGCCCTGGAAGAAGATAGAATCTGTATGTACCACAGAGGAAGACTAGCTGAGAAGATCGACACTCAGAACATTTGTGGCCTTACATTATTTCTTTAGAATTTATCTTGGGGGCCCCAAGATGCCAGCCTCACTGTGCTATGCTGAAGAAGTGAAGGTGAACAAGGGCGTGTGACTATGGCTGAGCAGACTGCCAAGTCAGGAGGCTGCTCATGCACTGTGACCACTGCTATGATGGAGACAGGCATTGCATGTGTTGTGGTGGGGGCAGGGGTGTCAGAAGTTTCCTAGGGAAGATGAGATGCAGGGCAAGATTAGGATATGTCATGGTGAAGTGGGGAAAGAGGAGGCAGAGGAGTCCGCACAAAGCCCTGAGCAATAAGGGCTTATGGGATTGTGACATTACTATTAACCAAGAGTGGGAGCCAGGAGTCATGAAGCTAAAGTGGAAAACAAGATCAGATTAATAGGGATCTTTTAAACCATGCCACAGAATTTGGAATCGTCATGAACATTTTCAACATTTCCAATTACTTGTTATAGCACTATGAACATATAATCTCTTCTTTATTTATGAACCATCTTTGGTGGTAAATATAAAGTTTCATTTAGTTCAGACACATATAATCACTTCAAGATAGCATTATGTTTGTTTAATTTCCAATCATGATATGTTATAGTTGAAAGAGACCCTAATAATGATCTGGTCTAATGTTTTATTTTGCATATGAAATGCTGTGATTTATATATAGCTATTTACTATCCCAACAGGTATCCACAGTTCCTGGAGTCAGTGCTTATGGAAACACAACTTCAGTACAAATAGGAAATATTTCAGGATACATTGATACTCCAGATCCACCAACAATCATCAGCTATCTACCTGGGCTTCTTTACAAATTTAGTTGTAGTTATCCATTGGAATACCTGGTGAATAATACACAGCTTGCTTCGTAAGTTCCATTTTATTCTTGGTGTCTCATATTGCCTTTATGTTTGAGTCATTTTTTATCCTTAAAGGAATTATAAAGATTTATAAGGATTCATTTAGATGAATTATTAGTACAATCATTAACACAACATTGTTTGTTGAGAGTAGCCAAACTAATGTAATGGAAACCCTATTAAGCCCTATTAGGTCTTATCTATCTATATTATTATGGTCCATATCAAAAGCTCAAGAGATAAAATATATATTATATGTTTATATACTTACTAGAGGCCTGGTGCATGAAATTCGGGGATCAGGCCTAAACTGGCTGTTGGACATCCCTCTCACAATCCTGGACCACTGGCTCCTAATCGTTCACCTGCCTGCCTGCCTGGTCACCCCTAACTGACCCAACTGCTGGCCTGGTTGCCCCTAACTTGCCCCCCCTAGTGGCCTGATCGCCCACAACTGCCCCCCCCTGCTGGCCATCTTTGGCCACATGGGAGCGGCCATCCTGTGTGTTGGATGGTCAATTTGCATAATACTCTTTTATTAGCTAATATATTAACTGTTCCCCACTGCCAGCCTGGTCACCACTTACTGCCTCCCCTGTTGGCCTGGTTGCCCCCAACTGTGCCCCTCTGATGGCCTGGTTGCCACCAATTTCACCTTCCCCCCACCAGCTTGCTTGCCTCTGACTGCCCCCCTGCCAGCCTGGTCACCCCCAACTGCCCTCCCTCAACGGGCCTGGTCACCCCTCATGGCCCCCCCTGCTGGCCTGGTTGCCCCATTCAGCCTGCTTGTTCAGTCATTTGGTCATCATCACCAATCCCCTGCTGGCCTGGTCATAGGCAGCCAACTTGTGAGGGCATGAGGGTTAATTTGCATATTACCTCTTTATTATATAGGATTATATATATTTCCCTCCAAATTAAACCTCAAACTAATCAGATGTCTGCCTCAGGCTCTCCTTGCACCCTTCAAAATAGCCCAAGAACCTAAGAACTCTGGGTGCTTGTGCAGTCCAGAAGGACCTGTCATATTTCTAGTGTATAGAACATTCAGTAATTACCTTGTTGGGTTTGTGTGGCTTCAGTCTCTGCCATATGCTCATTGTATTCTGCTGTCTCAAAATCTGAGGCGTCACCTGCCCAGATGCTGATGATTGGCAAAGAAAGGTGGCATGGCCCAGAGCCAAAGAGCTCCAGCCATAGATTGAGTTCATAGCCTTTGTTTATAGTTATGTATCCATTCATTTTTCCAAAAACACATATTCCAAGACAGGGTTATATCCTTTGCATATATGATAAAAGCCTAATATGCTAAGTGTCTGGTCGTCCAGTCATCTGTTCTACCAATCAAAGCATAATATGCTAATGATATGCTAAGGCCACTCAACTGCTTGCTATGATATGCACTGTCCACCAGGAGGCAGACGGTTGACCAGTTGACAAATTGCTATGATGTGCACTGACCACCAGGGGGCAGATGCTCCAACCAGTAGATTAGCATGCTGCTGGGGTCTGGCTGATCAGGACTGAGTGAGACAAGCAGGGCATGCCCTGGAGCCCTCCTGTGGTCCCTCCCTGGCTGGCCAACCTCCTGCATCCCTCCCCAGCCCTGATCATGCACCAGTGGGGTCCCTTGGCCTAGCCTGTGAGATCAGGCCAAAACCAGCTCTCTGACATCCCCTGAGGGGTCCTGGATTGTGAATTCGTGCACCGGGCCTCTAGTTACAAAATACAAGTATCTTTGACAAAATGGGATGATCTATAAGAAACTTTCCCTTTCCAATTCCAGGGTTTGCTATCACAAAAGTATAATTCTTGCTTAATCTTAGTTACAAGGGAATGTGAAGAACACATTTTGCTTCAGATAAAAAATATTCATAGCTGATTTTAATGGCACAATGATGTTAAATATTTTAGTCAAAAAGAAGTTTTTAATATGGAAAACAAGGCAAGAAAGGCCTTGAGTCTAATGGATACAGGTGTAGAGAAAAGCAGGTCTTACTCTGCCCACACTCTATCTCCACACTTAAACATATACCTGAGCTCCACTGTGCATGGACATTCATCATTCAATTATTTAATAAATATTATTGGTGTATAATAAGTATTATTATACACCAATATGCACCATGCCATGTTCAAGTAGTGAACAAAGTAAAACAAAATTCTTGATCTCATGAAACTTCTAATAGAATTGATGAAAATATATGTGCATCAGATTCAAATTCTGCAAAAAGCCTCATATAGGTAATGCAAAATGGGGAAAAGATGATTTTATAAATAAAAAAATTTATAAAGAACAGTTTGTCTTTACTTTTGGCTGTTCTTGCTCTTCTATTAACTATCTCTAGTGATTTAAACCATATGCCCACTCCAATCAGGCCATACTTAAAAATAGATCAGGCCTACTTAAGAATTTTAGTGCCTTAAATCTAACATTAAGGTACAGCCAGAACTTTTAGTTTGAAATTCTATCAATATGTTGGTTTTTTTTCCCTAACTCTATTTTAGGTCCTCAGCTGCTATTTCTGTGAGAGAGAACAATGGTACATTTGTCAGCACTTTGAACCTGCTCCTTTATAACGTAAGTTGATGGGTGAAGGATGTTATTTTCTCTCCCACTGTTCTGAGGAACCATTTATGCAAATGGATTTTATATAAAAATCTACTGAAAGCAACATTAACTTTGTTATCCTTTGGTACATTTATCCATCTTTCCTACCATTTTCATATATCTTGGTGATAAAGGTGTAATAAAAATTTATTATTTCCTAAAAGTGCGCAAATGACTTAAATTTATTTCATAAATGTGCCGAGTTATTCTGCACAGTTATTCTAAGTGTCTCTCTACTTTTAAGTGTATATGTTTATTTATGTGTGTGTGTGTGTGTGTGTGTGTGTGTGTGTGTAGCCACAGTCAGGGTCAAGATTTGAAGAATAATAATTTTGTATTAAAAATATAGGAAAAATCCAAACGACATATCTCTTGAAGGCATGCTTGGTTATGAATGTGTTAATATATTTAACATGGATTTTGATTGATGTCAATTCTGTCACATTTGAAATAATTTGGGTTGACTACATAATATTACCTAAATGTTCATCATGTAAATATCAACAGTGGCAGCAAAATATGAAAAGTACATGAGTTTCTATTTTTAGCTCTAACATTAATCCTTTAAATGATATTTTCATGTTGATTAAAAAAATTATTCATACATTTTAAATGCCTGATTTAAATATCAATTTTTCAATCTATCAACCAACATTTCTGTAAATTATGAATCTGATTTTTACATTATTATTCATGTCATCATGGCACTGAGTTATAATTCACGCAACTGATTTAAAAGTCAGTGCTTTATACTTTGAATATAATGAGCTATAAATATTGTAGTAGGACATTTTCCAAAGGCATTTTAAAAAATCATGTTTATAAGTTTGTAGTCTGACAACATAAGAGTTCTAAATAACAAATTAAAATCTATTGGAATGAAGATCGCTTTTGTTGGTATGATTTTTGTCATTTCTAAACTTTCTTATGTAAGAAGCTGCCAAGTTACTTGGTTCTATAATTTCAGCAAATATGTGCCAGTATCTATTCCAAATATGACCAAATGTTTATTATTATTGTGAACAATATTTTAATTTGAAAAGTTTCTATTTGTTGATTTGTATGTGTAAGCTCCCTGAGTTAAAATGACTGGTGTGGATTCACTATCATTTGCTATAATTGAGTGAAACAAGAATGATAATATCTGATCTTAAAAAAAAGTGAAAAATATATCCAGATGGCATTTTATATTCATACTAGGGGCCCAGTGCACAAATTCATGTACCTTGATAGAAACTGTGGGCTGCAAGGCTGCGATGCTGTGATGGGGACAGGGGCAAGTCTCGGCCCATCCTCTGCTCCCCTGCCCAGCCCCTCCTGCTGTGGCCCCTGGTCCTCTCTCTGGCTTCAGCCCCACTCCCTCTGCTGCTGCTCCCATGCACTGAGGGTGCTGGCCCCCTCGCACCCGCAGACAGCGGGGAGCGTTTGGGGCCAGTGCCAGCAGTGGGTGCGAGCAGGGCTGGTGCCATCAGGGAGTGCGAGCAGTGGCTGCCAGCCCCAATCACCCCTCAGGAGCAGGGGGAGGTGGAGAAGCCCTGAGGGGCATTTGGGGCCAGCAGCCACTGCTTGCACCCACTCATGGTGCTGAGAGATTGGGGCTGGTGCCGGGTGCCAGCAGCAGGTGCGAGCGAGCGGTGGCTCCAGCACTGGCAGCAGGTGTAAGGAGGGCTGGCTCAGGCTGCAGGTGGGAGCGCCAGGCAGGATCGCGGTGTGCAGGAGCAAAGAATTTTACATAACCACCAGAGACTCACCCCAATAACAGCAACTGGCACCCTGCCTTGGTCTGGTGCTCCCTGCTCACCTGCTTCACCATCCTGCTGCGGCCGACACCTACCATGTTCTGCATGAACCCCCTAGTAGTCAGCACACATCATAGCGACCAGTTGTTGGTGTTCAGTTGTTCCACCATTCAGTGTATTTGCATATTAGCCTTTTATTATATAGAATATTCTGTGAAATTAAACTATTTTCTCATTGGAAAAGCAGAAAATCAAAATTTAGACATGATAATTTGAGGAAAACTGTTAAAGTCTTCCTTTTAACATTAGAAATAATGTAATAGTACCGTTGCTAACTAGGCATAATTTTTCAAAAGAGTTTTTAGAATATTAATGCTAAACAAAAGCCTATGATTTAATGACAACCTTAAGATTTTAATTCCATGGTAAAAGGTAAAGGATTGTTGGTTATCAGACTATCAGTGAAATATGTAGTGCCAGAATACTTCTCATTTTTAATCAGTTTGAAATAAAAATATTACTAATGGCTGAATTAAAAATTAAATTGAATTTTAAAAGTTATTTAATAACTAGTTATTTAATAGAGTTCAACCATTTCCCAAAAAAACTTGTGTGTTTTTTTTAATTTTTATTAACGGACTTTATTTTAAGAGCAGTTTTAGTTTTATAGAAAAATTGACCTGAAAGTACAGAGAATTCCCACAGATCTCCTCTGTCTGCAGCCAACTTCTATTATTTTTGAGTATGTTTGTTACAGTTGATAAATCAGTATTGATATAGAATTAACTGCAGTCCTTAGTTCACATTTATTTTCACATTTACTTAATGTTCTATAATCTGTGGGTTTTGACAAATATCTATGACATGTGTCCACCTTTACACAAGAGTTTCACTGCCCTAAATTACTTAAAAATAAAACAAAACAAAACATGGGACCATAACAATATTTTTCCAAGTTATAAGGCATCACAAAGCTAGTAATTTGTAATAGAAAAATGTTTTAGTATACTTTCACTAATTAATCCCAAATCATATTTATTACTTGTTGGAAACACTAACATTTAGTTACCCAACTGTGATTTTACTGTAGCACTTCAAATTAAATAGTATTTTAAAACCATGAAGATCCCTATCTTCCTATTTCACATGAAGGCACTTATTTCTAACCTTTAGGAATGATGAAAAGTTGCATTATATACTTACTACTCTTATTCTCCAGTTAGTCCTTTGGAGAGGAAAGTTATGCTTACCCAATTCGGATTCAGGGCAATTGTTTATTTCTATGTGTTCTGGAATTCAGTAAATATTACTTAGAAAAATTTATTTATAAAAAGTAATGACATATGGACTATGCTATTTTCATATATGGGACTTCGAGTTGAACTGTGGCTTTATTTCTGTGCAATATAAATATATCATTTTCTCCTCTGCAAAAATAGAAAATGAGGTTGACCTGTGAATTTAAATCATACCTAAATATTAGGTGTCTTCTGAGCAGATACAAAAACAGTAAATCTAAAATAATGAATGTTTTTAAAGTTGAAGAAAAAATCTAAAATAAACGCAATTTATTTTAGAGATAATATTGTACTGACAAGAGTAAAGACATCTATCCAAAATAGTCAGAGAACTACCTTTTAGAAGCAATTTTAGGATGAAAAATGTGATGTTTCATGGTTAAACCACATTATTTGCAAATGATTTTGCAGTATAGTATTTATAAAGAAGTTTCTTCTGGACATTATTGATGCAAGTATAAGAGAAAAATTCTGCATAGTTAGAGAAAAATTACTTGAAAATTGGAAAAGGGAGGATTTAGGGTTTGGCTACTGTCATGGGTTGTGAAAGAATTCACAACTGAAAGAACAGATGTAGAGAGAACGTTTATTTTACTTTCCAGGGGAGGAAAGGGCCAAGCATTTCTAGTCAATACAGCTCAGGGAAGAGAGGTGGGCCTACTCTTTTAGGCAGTGGCTATTACTCAGTAACAAGGAAGGAAGGGGGATTCTGTTGAAGTTAAACACATACCAGGGGTTTATTGAAAAGTTACCATTGTTTGCTTTCTAGGAGACAGTACCGCAGATGTTCCAGGGAGGTGTCATCTCAGTATTTCTCCCAAGCCTGTAAAACAAGCTTAGAGAAAAAGTTATAAATAATTTAAGAGGCTTATTTAAAGGTTAGGAGAGAAGGGAAATTTTCTACTAACTAGAGATAGAGACTCGTTGGTGTGAATTATTCTTGAGTTGTGGAAACAGCAGGGAGGAGGGGGATGCAAGATTGTAGCCTTGAGAGTAGCTTATCTTGTACCACAGTATAAACAGAAGAGCTAAGAATCTTGGGGTTAAATTACCAGGTGTTTTTCATAAATTGTGGAAGGCCACAGCAAAGAAAAGGAAAGGTCTTTTTCTGTCCTTACAGGGAGCCAGAAAGATAATTAAATAAAAATACTACCTATCTAAAATGGCTAGAGGAGCTATTATCATTTATCACAGAAATAAAGGAAATAAGTACAGCATATAATCTCTCATTTATCGAGCTTATTTGGGAATTAAATATTCCACATGATTGCAACTTTTTAAAAAGTTAAACATGCAAACTATCACTTTATTATTTTTGCTACAAAATAGCAATTCTATAATCTCTCATTTATCGAGCTTATTTGGGAATGAAATATTCCACATGATTGCAACTTGTTAAAAGTTAAACATACAAACTATCACTGTATTATTTTTGCTACAAAATAGCAATATCTTCAGAGTTACTGAATTTGGGGAAACAATTTACCTCCAGACTAAATGATTTGACAGTTTACAACTCTATGGCATGCATTTTGACAACTTGGAGAACATGTTGATCTCTTTTTTTGGTTTTCTATTAAATTTGGTAATTTGAAATTGCCAGAATAGCGATTTTGAGTAAATACTTCCCAGCGTATAAAGACATTCAACTCACATGGCAAAGGGCTTAAACTAAAGCAGTTGTAATTTAAATAAACTTTTTAAATAAATAGAATATTAGTTTAAGTAAACTG